TCACTCTGTTTTAATTCTTGGCGCAGCACATGTTGCTAAGTGATATTTTTCCTGGTCATTTAAATTTGTTTTCCCCTCCTATTAGACAAATTCACTGAAATTTCAGGATACAAAATCAACACACAGAAATTAGTTCTGTTTCTATACACTAACAACAAAAATATCTGAAAAATATAAAGAAAACAGTGCCATTTACAATACCATAAAAATGGTAAAGCATCTTAAGAATAAATTTAACCAAGGAGGAGAAAGATCTGTACACTGAAAACTAGAAGACATTTATGAAAGAAATTGATAATGACACAAATAAATGGAAAAATATCCCACGTTCATATATCAGAAGAATTAACATTGGTGAAATGTCCATTCTACCCACATTCCAGAGCAACACGTGTTCATTATAGAAAAAAGCCACGCAGTTGTGGTTTCCCGCTGGCATCCATAGATAGCTCGAGTGGGGAGGAGACCCCTTTGTGGTGCCAGCTGCGGGCCAGTCCTCCCCAAGTCCCTCTCTCTAGAAGCTGGCCAAGGGGAAGAGTTCACGCATGTGGGTTCGCTTGCATGGGTATCCTTCAGGGTGCTCCTGTAATGTGCTTTTAAAATGTATACTTCTATCCATGGTACAAACAGGCCCATCTTCATCCCTAAGCCCGAGATGGAGAGAGAGAATATTCATGAGTAGGAAGTCAAGAGACCACATGTCTAAAGAAACAGACACTGTCGATTAGTCAGTGAGGAAGAATCTCTCTTCCTTTCCAAGTCCGCCTTCCCAGCTCCTCTCCTCTCCCCTGGGACCTCGATGCTTCAAGTACCTTCTTTTCCTCATCCATACATGATCACTTCCTTTCACTGGCCCCAATTCTTCTGTCATAAAAACACTCGGGTTGTTTTCTCTTGAAAATAACGTGTTTTCTGTCCCCGTTGCTTCCTCAGGCTGCCATCCCAGTTCTCCATCAAACCCTTTAAGAGGGTCCTGTGTTTTCCTCCTGCACTCCCCCACCCCGGCTGACTAATTTTGTTACCTCTCGCTGATATCCAGCTTCATAAATGACCTACCTTCATTGGGAAGGGGCGTGTTCTCCTATTGACAGCTGATTTCTGATAATGAGGAGCATTTGGACTCACAAAGAAGGTTGAAAGTCCCGCCCTAAGGAGCCTTAAATGGAATTTCTGGAGTGGTCTGCATGCGTACTCGACAGAAAAGGCACGCTGTGTCCCAGAGGCTGGGACTGAAGGTGGGGGTGAGAAAGTTTGGATGCCAGTTAGGAGAGAGGTCTCACACATACTGAGATGTCCCAGGTGGAGAAACCAAAAGAGCGGTTTCAGATATGAGCCCACATTTAGTATCTTGAAGGCATCTAACGTCTTCAGTGCCCGGAGCTTGTCATTTATGTTTGGCAGTGAAATGGAAATGTGTGCTATCTTCAGTTAGCTTCTTCCAGAAGTGGACCTTCACCAGGGATTTGGGTGTCGGTGGTTTGTTTAAGGTGCAGCCCCCAGAAAAAACCAGAAAGGAACTAGAAGAAGCAGGCTGGGGGTAGGGAAGAAGCTGAGAAAGGTGAGATTTCAGGTGACGTTCCAGACTCAGCCTCATCTGCTGGGGTGCTTGGTGCTTACCCTATCTGAGGTGCAAGAGCTGGGCTTTTGGGCTCCCACACTTGTAAGTCACTGGCCACAGGTCATGGTGGGGGTGGGATGGACATAACATTCCCAGGTACTTCTCCTTTCCAACTCAGGGGCTCCATGTCCAAGGGCAGGCCGCTCAGGGTTGCAGATACAATTAGTAGCAAAAACACCAAAGCTGGGGATGGGTGAGCAAGCCAGTACAAGGGATCCAAGAGGCACTGGTTAGGTCTCCAAAAGTGTCTGTTACATATGCCTGCAAGTGTAGGCTCCTCCAGTGTGTCAGTGCCAGTACAAACTGGAATGTTTTGTGAGACACTCAGAGCCCTGGGATCTTTCATGACCGATCAGCCAAGGACTGATCGGGGCCATTCTAGAGACAATCTGGGAAGTACTTAGGGATGTTAGCTATGCAAAAACCCTGTGGTCCTGGAGTGATCCTACTTGTTTTTAATCATCCCAGAGAAATCACACAGGTCCCCATGGGGGCTTGTACAAAGATGTGAGGTGTAGCCTTATTTGTGGCAGCAAAGAACTGGATAAATTAAATGTCCAGTGTAGATGTAGATAGAGTCCTATATGTAGGGATTTTTTTCTCCCTAGCATACTTAGATCATTCATTAATTATTGTTCTAGTTGGCAAGGGCTTTACATATTTTATAGATCTAGTTTATGTATTATTTTTAAATTTGAAGATAAATGATTTTTACAGAAAATATTAAAAATTGAGGAATTAGCTGAGCTGAAAGGGCAGCAGAAATGATGGTAGTGGGAAATATGGTGATGTCCGTAATGGTGAAGAAAGGAAATGGTGTGGCGGTTCCTCCTTCCCCTTTCTAGGGCCACACGGCTTTTCCTTTGGGAGTCAAGCCCTTCCCACCCCTGCCCCATTCCCCCACTCCCCGACTTCAGCTCCAGGACTTGGCCCTGCTTGGTCTAAGCCGGTCAGCTGAATTCCCTCCCTTCCCACAGGGTCATGACTGAGAGTGAGGAGCAGTGACCCAGGCCTACTCACCCCATCAGGCTTCATAACTCAGAGGAAGGACTGGGCAGAGGGAGTGAGGTCGGTTTTCCGTTATGCACTAGCGTATGCCTGCAAAGCCTAAAAGGGCACACATGGTCCCTTTATGTGGGCACACTTAGTCGATTTTCTCATTTTAGGATTTTGAAAAATCACAAGAATTTAACTGCATTTAATTTCAGTTACTACAGTTTGAGAAAAACAGAGAGCTGTAGTTCATGGAGAAAAGACTTGTTTCCGTAAAAACATGGGGTACATGCAGTGAGTCAGGGCTGTGCCTTGCAGGGGCCCGGGCGGGGCCTGTGATTTGGTTGGTCACCCAACACTACAGTCTCAGCCGGGCCCACGGCTTCCTCCTGTCTGGGCAGGTCTGTCGCAGCCCCCAGTGTGCACCCGCATCTGCCGTCAGAGAACGGAGTCAAACAAAATGTGGTCCATTCCACAGAGATATACTACTAGGTAAGAGGACTGTGGTTCAGGCCCACAAAGGAAAAATTTGTGGAATTCTCTAAATTCCTGCAGGACGATTCTGTGACTCTTTTGATTGTATCTAGGTTTGGCACTGCTGTTCCTAATTTATTACCTTCCAGGAGGAGACTCAGAACCCACTGATAACATTGATGCCAAAAGCTTGGGAAACCAAGAGATAGTAGGACTTCTGGCTTCCTCACACCGAAAGGGAACTCTGCTAGCCAGCTTCTTGGGGCAACAAGCCTTGCTTTGCAGCTACAATGTTATTTTCAGGTCTTTCTTATTCCCCGAATCTAAGAACAGTGCCCTGTCTGCTTTCACTTTTAGAAACAACAGCAAAAAAGCGAGAGTATTGGCACTGACCAAATATAAACATTGGTTTTGTCTTTGTTACTTCTCAGAGGAAAGTGTGACAGAAACTTTTCTACAAATGTAGGAGTAATTAAAAAAACACTAAAAAAATGTCAAGATCTCACTGGAAGTTCAGAAATAATCAACAGCCTATAGTAGACTTGTGCCCTGATTTAACTTTGCTTGCTTGAAACCTGGAGAAAAACCAATAAATACAATGCTAGGAACCGTAGACTCAGAATTTCAGGGCTGGGCAGGCGGTAAGGACTGGCAGTGTACTTTGCTCTCTCCACACGTACACAGTGCTTCATACTTTGTCGTCGACCGGTGGGCAATGCTGCTAAAACACCGGTAGAGCTAACAGACCAGGGAAAGAGTCCCCTTTGTCTTGGCTATTTCCTGGACTTAATCTATATTTTGTTCCATTCGCTTAATTTAAAAAATACTGGATAGGTTTATTTCTGGATGGGGAATAATATGCATTCACTGACTTAACAAGTTCATCCTATGGAGCAGGGGTGTCAAACTCATTTTCATCGGGGGTCGCATCAGCCTCACAGTTGCCTTCAAAGGGCCCAGTGTGATTTTAGGACTGCACGAATGTGACTACTCCTTAACAGTTAAGCGAGAGCTCATAGCTGCCACCAGGGATTAGCCGTCTGTAGACAGCCAGACGAGGAAAAAGAAAAAGCAGAGGATGGATGAATTCTCTGTCTCACCTCGGGCTGGGACGTCCATTTCCTCCTTGCACATTGGCACCCCCGGTTCTCAGCCTTTGGGCTCTGGGACTCACATGGGAGGGCTGCTCTGCTGTTCTCAGGCTTTTGGCCTCAACTGGGAGTTACACCGTTGGCTTCCTTTGGAAGGAAGCCTTCCTTAGTTATCAGGCCTTTGGACTTGAACTGAATTGGACTCGGCTTCCCTTGTTCTCGAGCTTACAGATAGCAGAGGATAGCATATTTCAGCCTCCTCAGTCACATGAGCCAATTCCCACAGTAAATCTTCTCTCACACATAGTGGCTCTGTATCTCTGGAGAACCTGACTGATACATGAGCAGAGGGATATTATGGTGGCACAGTTAGAGGGATACCAGGGGCTTAGTTTTAGATCTGTTGGTCATCCAGTTGGAGATGTTCAGTAAGTAGTTGGATACATATGAGTTTATTCCTCATATCCACCTGACGTACTGTTTATGGGCTGTAGTTGTTTATTGTTCAGCTCCTTCCTTCCTCTAGAATTCAAGCTCTGTCTGAACAGAAACTTTGTGTGCTTTGTTCACTACTGTATCTCCAGGACCTAGAAGAATTCCTGGGGCATAGTAGATGATCAGTAAAATTTACTGGAAAGGTGAATGAGGAAATGAATGAGAGAGTTATGTATTCAGCACAACATGTAGGTAGAGAATACAGCACAGTAAAGAAGTATCTGTTTGAAAGTAAAATTCCTTGCCCGGCTATTACTAGGGAGAGGTTTACAATAGGCTTTGTGTAACAAGCATTTTCTTCTTCTTCATATAAAAATGAAGAAGCACTTGCAAGTTTTCTGTAAACTTTATTTTATACTTTTAGGCCACTGCCAATCCAGGGCCTTGGCTTTTGGCTCATTTTTACACATTTACTTGGAAATATGTGATAAAAGTAGAAATCAGAAATATTCCTACTAGTAAACCATGATTACTTATCAGTCCATAGACACAATGTACATTGAAGCCTGTGTGGTTATTCAGAAATCTGTGACTTTCTGTATTTATCAAATGCATTCTTCATATGCAAGAGACAAAGCATCTTAAATAAAGAGACAATCGTCTTAACAAAACAGCGTGAACTTACAGGTTACATTATGGGCAGGTAGCATTGCATGTGATGGGCCAGGGGAGCGATGGACTTGACTGCTTACACATAACGAGCCCTGCAACTGGACCGGCTGGGAGCCAATGGTGACATTTTGTATGTGACTGTGCGAAAATGTTGCCCAACAAATTCTTAGCTAGTTCATCGTCAGTAATGTCTTTGGTGAAGTCTGATCTGAACAGCTGACCACTTGACGACCTCATCACCAAGCTGGATTGGGGGTTAGGACAATACAATTGTTCCAAGTTTAGTGACTGTTACTCTAGCACAGGAACTTATACAACCCCAAATACTGTCTTACCAAACCGACCGACCAACAAAACCTTATTGTTAACCAATGGCTCGTCCCCTCCCATGCTGCCTCCCGTATTCCATTTGTAATGGTGACGTAGTCACAAGATTTATGAGCATATAGATTAAAACTGACCAAGGCCAATCGGCATGATGAATGACCACCTGGACGCCACTCAAAGTGTGCGCCGTGGCACCAGTGTGGGGCACTGTCGTTAGATTACGTAAGTCCACACGCCCCATAAGTGCACACGTGCAGATATCACACACACGAATACACTCCATAGAGATAATAACAGAATACCTGGCTAAAAGAAATGTATAGTTGTATATATATATTTATGTACACACAGTAAAAGATTTTCTGCTATACTCACAGTCTGTAAACATCTCGGGGAATGCCCAGCAAAAGTCACTGTGGGCCCTTTGAAATGGTGACCGTGTGAGGGGTGGGAGTGGGGGAGGTGTTGCTGTTCACGCTGGGAACCCAGAGAAGTGAAGAGCCACCGTTTGTGATGGCCTTTGGGGTAATTACATTTCAGCGACGTGATCAACTCAGTCACTTGGAAATTACGTTTCCTATATGGACAGTGGAATGGCCAAAAAAGTCTTACTGCCAGTTAACATTTAAGACAAATCACAAGAATATGCAGTGATATGTATGCTATATGTATATATGTATGTATGTACACATGTGTATAAATGTACATAGATAGCTAAGTATATACATATATATACATGTTACTATTACAAAAAAACCTCAATGAAATTTCCCAATCTTCTAAAAATACTCAGTCCTTTTCTCCTAAGTGTACTTCAGACTCCCCTGCATTGCACTGAAAGTCTTGGGAATAGTTCAATAACATGCACATTTAAATTTGGGTATGTTACTGATTTTACCAAAAGGACATAAAAATGATTTGGTTTATGAAAAATAGAACTATTTGACTCAAGCATTACTTTAAAAACTTAACATAAGACTATGTTCAGGATCTCCTGTACTGAAAAACCACTAAAAAAGTAAGTTCTTGAAAATGCTTCGAAGAGTGGCGATTGAACCACCATGCGTGGTGACCAGTTTGCGCTTTAGTGCCCGCAATGGTCGCAGCTTGAGAATTTATGTTGGAAAAAAACAGTGACGTGAGGAATATTAACCTAATTGTTCACCTAAATACTGTTTTACTTGCTTTTTTTTTGCAAAATATGTTTAATAGGCTCAAATAATTATTTTTAAGCTACTATGAGTTTAAAAATACTGGCATAGAATAACATCTCAAATAAAGGTGACTTAAGCCCATACTGTGTTTGGCAACAAAACAAAACACCTAAAAAATATCTCTATTTCATAATCTCCAAACTTTCATGGCGACCCATTCCCACCGAATGTTGAACAGAACGGCCATGGAAGCTAGTTATGCACTTGAAAACTATTTTCATGCAAAAGTAGTAAATATCTTTCTGGTTTCATTTAACAGTCTCCCTTTCCCCTGCCAACTCTCACCATTTTTAGTGCTGAACATAACATGCAGAATATGTAAGTTAGATAAATTAAAGAAGTCAGATTCATTGAATTTGTGGGTATAAACCAATCCACTCTCTGATGCTTTGGAAAGCATTTTCCAGGAGTGGGACTGAGCCATGTGAGAAGAGACTTCAGGAGACATCGTTGCTGTGTGACTTTTTTTCTCCAATAGGATTCGAAGGAATATTGATTAATGTTTCTGAAGATGTTTAGTTGATGCTGTCCTTGTGGCTGCTCCTCTCTGTGTTGTGGTTGTTCTGTTCATGGTTCTTCCACTGGATGCTAGTTCCATTCATGGGGACCGAGGTCATCAGGCTTTTGGACTGGTAACAGCAGCAGCAGAGGCAAGACTGCGAGAAGGAACGGATGCAAATAGACGTGAGTCTACCAGCCTGTTTCCAGTGGAATGCAGATGCCCTGGGCCCCCACCAACAGGGGGTAAATGTCCACAAGCATTCGAGGACAGAATGTGAGCCTTAACAGTCACCCTGTGTGTGGAGTCTGTAATCCCATGGTGGAAGCTGAACTGTCCATTTTACTGCAGAGAAATAGGTCCCTGGCTTCTTGTTTAACTCTGTTCACCAAGTCAAAGAAGAAGGGGAGCAGTTTTGGTCAGAGGAAGAATGTTCTATGGCTTTGGGGTGGGCACGAGTGGGGGGCTAGGCAAGGCCTGGCATTCCTCACCGCACCGCGGTGCGGTGTCTGTCTGCATCGGTACCTCATCCTGTATTCCCAGCCCGGGGCGGTGGGTGCTGTTTTCCCACCAGCTTGTATAAAACTACCAAGTTTCATCTATGTGTAAGATTCTGGGTTAATATATGTCTGTTCTCCTTTTAGACTGTAAATTCAATGGGGGCAGTCACTGTCTTTCTCCTGAACACTCTATCCCCAGATAATGTTAAGTCTGTATTGAGCACTTATTATTGTTTTAAGCACTTAACATATATTAACCCATTGAATCCTACTTATGAGGTAGATACTGTGATTGTCTGATTTTACACACCAGCAAACTAAGGAAGCAGGACTGCCCGGACCTGGGTTTGTCAGTAAGCACTGAGCTGTGATGTAAATCAAGATTGTTTGCTTCCAGAGCCTGCACCCTTGACCTCTGTGCTGCCCTTCCTAATATGTATCATGAACTAACATCCTGGCTAGAGATAACAGGATCCAGTTGGGATTAACTCTATGCTAAAATCATTCCAGAAACTGGAAAAATGACCCATCAATCAGAAGTTCATGGACTTCTGGAGGAGGTGGGTTGGCTTAGCTACAAGGAGATTTGAAGAACAGAAGGAAACATTTCAAATTCAATCACATTAGTTCAGATTTCCAGAGTAATGAGCATTTAGTTTCCTTGAAGAACCTATTATGAAATATACTATTAAGTAGCATTTAGCAAGCAGTTTCTTAACAATAAACGTAACTTGTATTTTATTGAAATTCTGGGACTACTGTTAAAATCTATAACAAGATAGGGAGGGAATAGGTTTTTATGTATTCTGTGTGGCCTGGAGCTCACATTTAAGCATTTCTTTTTAAAGGAGCATACTGAGTTGGCATGTTATTAAGTTAGTTATTTTTTATTTTAACCTCTGAACGTGTTTTTCCCTGAATAGATATTACTTTCTTTTATGCTGGCAATTTAACCATCTTTCTGGTTAACAAAACAGTGATTTTCATTTCCCTCCTGAAAGTACAGGGTCTGGCAGAAGTGATGCCTGCTTGAGTGTGGTTGGTAGGGTCATGATGTGGGTGTAAAAATTTATAGTTTTAATTTGAATGTTTCACTTAAAATATCATATGGTGAGCTTGAGTGTGATACTGTCATGTTACAGAATGACATGCTTATGACTTTGTAATAAAAGATTTTGTAATAAAAAGGGGGCATTATTTGTGCCAGACCCCTGTATAGCTGACAAAAGTAATATTTACAACGGGAATTAGCCTTGGCTATTGGCAGCTTAATATAATTATTTAGTTGTCCTTAAAAATACTTGCAAAACAGCCTTACCTGAAAGCAATTTTTAAATTTCTTGCTCACAAAATATAGAGCTATTGGGTTTATACATGAATTCATAGTTGCCAAGTTAATACCGATGTAATCCATGAGCAGCAAGAAACTAGATTGAAAGAGAACAGAGTAGAGTAATTAGAACATAGTGTTTTTAAAAGTGAAAACTAGCATTTATTCCTAGAATAAGCATTTTTTTCTTGCCCAGAAGACATTTCTTAGAGGTAGCAGTCAGAACTTCTGTAAAGTTGCTGTTTAAATGGCAGTTTCAGGCCTACAGAACATTTACTGGCCACGTGGTTCCAATGGTTGTGCACAGCCTCACAAAGGGAGCACCAAGATTACAGACATCGTGTGCACAAATTTTGGGATCAGTTATGGGCCATGTCACCTAAATAGAAAAATAACCCACTTGGTAGTTCCAATTTTCAGGGCTAATGAGAATATAGGCCAGATGGTTTTGTAAAAGTATTGTAACTGTGAAAATCAGAGGAACTTCAATTTCCTAATGAGTACATAGGATCGTACCTAAGTAATTCACATCGGTTCTTGTCCATCGCATTATACACGGTTTTCTTCAAAATACGGCTTAAATGAAGAGGGAACCAGCAAAGCGCAAAAATTACAACCAAGCAGAAAACTGTTTTTGCCACTTCTCGACGCTAAAGGAAAGTGAGAGGAAAAAAAGTACAGTAAGTCCAGTGTTTTCTACTAGGTAAAAGACCAACACAACAGGAAGCAGTAGAGAGCAGGGAAAGAAGAGCTAAAGAGGAACCAGGACGGCCTGTGTCACAGTGCCTCCTCCTCCTCTCTGAGACTTGGAGTCCAGCTTCAGGGCCAAGGGTTTGCTCCTGATTCTTTTGTGCAGCTGCCAGGAAGGATGGTGGCTTCAGGTGGCTTTTAGGATGTGGGCAGAGGTTCTGGGACAGGGAGACGTGGGGACTGGCTGGAGCGGAGCTAACATCATAGCTGGGTGTGTGTGTGTGTGTGGTGAATAGAATGTACGAGTATGAAGGAAAGCATTAGCCATTAGCTAAAAGCTTCAATATCAGGTAACTAACTAGTATCAATGACAGCATGGCAGTCAACATGACTGAACCCACCATGACAAAGAATGGACAAAGCTGCAAAAATGTCTGGAAAATAGCATAGGCATAGGAAACAGAAAATAAAAAGCACCAGCAATATGTTTTCTCCATCTTTTTGATCTTGAAGAAAGCTAGCATTGGGATATTTTTGGCTTTAAAATATTTTACTAATGACATCTATTTCCCAAAGATGTATTGTTTTCGAACAGAGGCATAAGGGTGAAGGACTATCAGCAATGATGATTAGAAGAGCTGTCCCTGGACTGACTTCAGCTGAAGGTTTACATACTTCCATGTCTGCACAGGATCAGAAAAACCATAGGTTAGGGATTATCAGCAACTGCTCATTTGTGTGCGTTATCCTTGAGTATTATAGTGCGTGCATTTAGAAGCCTAACTAGGAACATAAAATGCAACTTGTTTGTAACTGGGATCAGTTAATGTCAAAATAAAACTGATTGAAAACAGGGTTTGGAAGGGTAATGCTGGTTCAACTCAAAGCATATAGCATTAAATATAGGAAGCCTGCAACAAACCCACATGATTAATAGAGCCGTTTAAAAAAATTGGAGCAGTTATCACAAATTGCTACTCTAACTCAAAGAACTGGGAGTTCTTTAATCTTGTAGAGCTATTGGGCTAGCCTCAATATGCTTCAGAGAACACATCTCAAGCACTGATTTCAGAGAATCATTAAGCAGTGATTAAGAGGAATAAAGGATTCTAGTGTGCAGGAATGGGAGATCATTTTAGGTGGTCATGAAAGATAGTGTGTCCAGAAAAATGAAAAAGGAGAGTATCAGGAGAGAGGTTGCCTCCCCTGAGCATATCCTCAAAGAGGACAACCCCTTTAAAAGGTAATATTAGTACTTTGCCACAACAGCCTGCTATTTGTGTATCCAAAACCAGTTCTCCTACTTTCCCTGCTAGCAATCAGATTCTTGATTTTGTTACAGCAGTATGGGAACTGGCCCAATCATCAGCATGGCTACCTGATGCAGTTCTGACCAGTTAGATTTAGCAGAAATTGTTGTGTGAGGTTTCTGTAAAGCTGCTTAAAAGCGGGAGATACTCCTGTGCACACACGCTTGTGTGATCTATGTTCTTCCCCTTCTTTCTGCCTGGAAATCAGATATAGGGGCAGAGCCGTAGCTGCTGTCTTCTAATACTGAATGGAAGGTCAGCAAAACGGCAGGCCCTGCTGATGAGCCCCATCACTGCTGAATGAATGGCATATGAACTTTTTGCTGTGGGAGAAAGAGAAACCCCTCCTTGGGCTACTCAGTGTTATTTTGGGTTTTCTGCTACCAGCATCCAAACACAATCCCTACATGATAAAGCTGTTGTCAGCATAATGAAGACAAATTCGAGAAACCATGCAAGAAGCGAGACCAAGAGCCCCTCAGGATACTAGTCAGAGGGTGGCAGGGCCTTCCGCCCTGACCCAGCTCTCCCACGGTCCCACCTGAAGGCCTGCCAACTAGGCTCGGTCTTCTGCTCTTAGCACCGGCCACAGCTTTGAGTGTGACCCAGGGAGTGTCTACTGCATGAGGTCAGAGCTGGGGGTTCTGATTTCCATTTGGCTGAGTCAGTCTCTTAACCACCTGCACAGGGATAGTGTCTACCGTGACTATCCCATAGCGTGCTTGGAGGAGTCACGGGTGGGAATGCTCTACAAAACTGTGAGAGGCCATTGTTTCTTTTTCAACGCTCCCCCAACAGAGCCACAAAACCAGCAGGTGGGGGCCATATCTGAGACTCCACCAACCTACCACGGTTCGCCACGCCCTGGTGATTCCCTGAGGCTCCGCCCCACCTAATTTACAGGCCTGCCCAAGCTAACGGTGAAGTTTCCATATGGATGGCTCGTGTTTGCTCATGCTGCATGCACACGCACACACACAAAACCACAAACAAAACAACAATCTACCACCAAACAAACAAACAAAAACCTTGAGAAATGGTAGGTGAATGTGAAGGGGCATCATGTTATTTTGCTCTCAAACGCTACTGAATTATTCTCAGAGCAGGCGCCACATATGGCTTAAATAGGCCCACTCATGGTGCTGAGACAAAAACCAACATGTACCACGCTATTTTTTCCATAAACCTATTCTAATTAATTACCTCCACTGCAGAAGTGAGAGGTCTTAATTACTTAATGTTTTATGTCTGGAAATTTTCATGCTTGAACAAACTTGTACTAAAGTTTCTCAGTATAATTTTCCTGTTAATTTAAATAGATGGTAATAGTTACCATCTGTATGGTGTGTTAGATTTTTACAAAGTATGTATGTTCACATTAATTCCTTTGATTCCCATCATACATTGATTTATATGCTATTATGCCCGATTTATAGATAAGGACCTGAAGCTCAAAAAAATAAGACCAGTAGCTGAAGAGACCTGCTGATGAAGAATGAGTCTGGGTATGATAACCATACAGGGCACATTTACAGGTTCCATCAATAACTCCCGTTAACTTTTGCTGTGGTTGGGTGACCTCTGTTGAGACTTAGAAGTTATCTACAGTCCTAGCTTTACTCTTTGAATTCTACCTGTCAACATTTTCTGAATACTTATTATGAGTTGGACTCTATTAGACACCTTCTATGCATTAGGCAACCCCCTTGATGTTTTATTATATACATTTTATGAGAAACTCAGAGAGGTTTAGCAATTTTCCCAGTGTCACAGAGCCAGCAAAAGTATCAGACCCAAGTGTTGCCCTCTAAAGCCCACAGCTTTTTCTGTTCTGTGTGCTGCCCTGGAGGGACCAACAGTAGTATTCTAGAACTTACGTCCTTCCAATATTTGACCTGTTCTTATACACCCAGTCCCATTTCCTTTCAAGAGCCTCACCTTTGATGTTGTTGATGTTTTTCTAATGAGGTTCATCTCCTTTCTCACTCCCCAAATGGGTGGTTCCCACGCCATGACATAATTAGACTCCTGTCTTCTCACCTGAAATACCCTCTGTCCTCTTTTTTCCATCAAACCCCTTTATCTTCCATGACCACGTCAGTCCCTCTCATCCATGAACAGTTTCTCTGTGACTTAGTCTCACGACCTCCTTGGCTTTCTATAGGATGGGTGACTTTTACCACACTCTGTGATTCTACTTTTCAGTTGCTTTCCTGTTTGCATTGTATTTCCACAACACAATCGCAAAGCTTGCTAGGGGAGCGAGTCATATGCTTCTTTTTGTCCCGATGCAGTTCCAGGCCAACACATACAAAGCATGTGGTCAATATACTCTTGGCAGAATAAATGAATAGTTCCTCCCTATTTGGGCCTGCCTGAAGGCAGGCTCCCTATTTTGCAAGAGAAATCCCTAATATTGTAACTATAAAGATCTACAGACAAACAAGGTAGTATCTTTATTTTGGGGATACTAGACTAAATCTGCAAAATGCAGCCTTTGGTTGTCAAGGACAAGATAATCTTGGCCAGAGACTCATCTTATTATGTTTACCTGTTTAAGATGTTCACTGAGGGCAATTCTCAGGCTGCCATTCCTCCTGTTTAGCATCTCACAAGTCATGAGGGTGTAGAAGATCGCAGTGCACACCAGGGGCATGCAGAAATAGAAGCCGAAGAGCCACCAGTCCTTCACATCTTGGTAGAACTGTAAATGAAGAAAAGGGAGAGAGGAGGAGGGGCTTTACAACGCAGACTAGCTGCGCAGTGCAAGCTGGGAACTTTGGCATCTTCTGGTTCCCTATCTGGTTGTGGTAATGAGCTTGGGGGTGGTGCTCAAAATTCAGTTAAATTGGAGACTCTAGAAGTTACGCTGGCTTTATAAAATACTACATGAATAAACCACATTAAAAAAATTACCCTGGCAAAGATACTTTTTATAAACAGAAGTTGATTTTAATTATTCAAATGGAAGAGCCCCAATCAATAAAAAGAATAAAAAGAGCCCCAATCAATAAAAAACCCACAAAACATGATTCTGAGATGTACGGAATATGTATTTATCTTTATTAATGAGCCTCCAGGTTTTGCTAGTGCCCGGTTTACTTTTGACTGTTGTGGTCCAGGTGTACTTAATGTGAATATCTTGCTTGGAAACAGGGAGGTTATGAATGGCTTATCTGTGTAGTTTTGGTTACTGAGAGTTAACCCTTTGCCTGGAATGCCTGCTATGTGACCTCACAGCCAATTCGAGCCATTAATAATCATGCCTCTTCTCACTCTTTTTTAACCCTTACCACCTGGAAACTATCAAAACGGAGTACCTTATCTGAAAGCATGTTTAGCATTATCTCCCTGTGGGTCGGATTTATAAATACCAGGATTATCCACTTTTATTTCTTTTTAAAGAAGAAAAGTTAATACCCTATAAAAATGGAAATTGGAAAATTGTATCTATATACTTCTTCCCACTAAATTCATTATCAACTTGGGAAGGAAATGCTTCTTTCTTTATTCTGTTTTTTGGAGTGTTTACTTACTATGGACAATGCAGCCTACCGTAATGTCTCCGTTCCCACAGTAAAAGCTAATCATGATGCTCTGTGAAAAGCTAGACAGTTTCTGAATATAGAAAGAGGCCCAGTGGGCTACATTTATAGCATGTTTATTAAAATAGCCTATAAATGGTTCCTGAGGAACAAAAGTTCTGGGCAGAGGTTCTGAACTATTTTTATGCCATAGACCTCTTTGGAAGTCTGGTGAAGATGATAATCCTTTCTGAGAATAATACTTTTATATGCATAAAATAAAAGATGTAAGATTATAATGGAAATCAGTTACACAGAAATGGCATCAAATTATTTAATATAAAATTCTGATAAAATATATTTATTTATTAATAATTAAATGACATATCTAATAGTGGTTCTAATAACTGTCAGAATGTTGGAGCAATAATGAGCATAAATGATATTTCAAGATTGTACAAGTGTCATATGGTGTGAAAATGTGTTATTTCTATTAGTGAAAAAAATTGTGATACCGTTAAATACTATTGTATTATAATTCATTGCCTATATTCATAATAGAAGGAAATGATAAATTTTCAGTTAGAAGTTAGTGAAAATACACGTCATTTCTTTTTCATTCAAGTTCACAGACCTCTGAATTTTATCCTCAGGGTAAATACAAATTCCCAAAGGAGTTGGTTTATTCAGATCTGCTTATACAAATATTTCCACACCCACATCACACTGTTGAGAGATTTTTGTACTGGACTTAAAAAACAAACAAACAGAAAACATCAGAGGGACTGTCTTTTTGTTTAAGTGCACAATAAACACTGCTTTAAGTACCCTCCTCAATTTGTGACCCCTTCTTCCAGGTGCATTGCTGACTGGTGTGAGTGGCTCAAAAGCAGCTCCACAGGGTCTGGAAGCTGACCCCTGGGGGGCCTGGATGGAGTCCCCAGCCCCTGCCCCTCCCCTGCTGCCAGAGGCCTGTAGAGCAAGGGGTCACAGATTCCCTGTGAATCCATGTCATCAGCAAGGGTATGGAGGGGCCTCCCTCTGGTCTGTTAGAGCAAAGTTGAGGAGCAAAGCGTGGAACAAAGAGAAGAAATAAAGTTAGAAAAAAGAACAGGAAGAGAAAGAGAATCCTAAATATTAAAACAATCACCAGTTATCACCAAACTCATATTTTTTACTGCACCGTCTGGGCCCCTGCTGTCTGAAGGGCAGCTAGCCCTTGCTTGTCTACTCTGTAAAGGGGACTCAGTCGTCACAAAGGATCTCATTTCATTTTGTCCAGTTCTATTGATTGGTGAGCTGCTGCTTTTTTTAATTTAAGATTTTATTTATTTATTTTTAGAGAGAGGAGAAGGGAAGGAGAAAGAGAGGGAGAGAAACATCAATGTGTGGTCACCTCTCATGCTCCCCCTATTGGAGACCTGGCCCACAACCCAGGCATGTGCCGTGTCTGGGAATCCAACTAGTGACCCTTTGGTTTGCAGGCTGGTGCTCAGTCCACTGAGCCACACCAGCCAGGGTATTGAGCTTCTTCTCTCTAACATTTTATCCAGAAATCTTTATGTTGCTCATTTGCACTGCCCACACTCTGACAATCTCCTACTGATTTTGTTTTCCACTGTGGAGACTTGACTTAGGAAAAAAAAAGTCAGTAGATAAGCAGACCTTAATTTTTAGCTTGCCAGTTTGGCAGCTTTCATGAGTACTTTTAATTTTCAAACAAGAACATGTAAGCAGGATAACTGGTCAACTGTAAAACCACTCATTTGGTAAATTTTCCAAGTTAGGAAAACATACTTTGAGATGTCTGTAAGTGATTAAATGTGGAATCTGAGCTGCATGGAACTTACATCAAAGCACTAAGTTATGCTGGCTTGAGAGAAATAGTTACCCTTCCAATTTTCCTCCTGAGTCCCGCTTTGACTGGTTTTGCAGAGGTAATGTGCATTTTAAGAATGTTTCCCAGTTCACTCATGTGATTACGCTTTTCAGAGAAACATTAATGAGACCAGGTGTACTAAACAACAACAATTGAATTTGTTAAACTGGACACTTTTTTAAAAAGTTCTGCAAGTTTACATATTTGTACATGTAAGTATGACTTCCTACTTTGAGTTAGTAAAGCTGTCTTTAAAAAGTGTATGAGCAACAGGTATTTCCCCACGTAACATGAAATAAGTATCAGCACGTGCTCTATTCCTTATTATAAAAATAAGTAGCAATTTATACATGTACATTCCTCTCTTTTAGTAAATGTATTTCAGAATTCTGAGCTGTGTGGTACAGAACAAAAGTTGTGTCTACAGTTATGCTGCAAGAGTAAAAACAAAATAACTGTTCTACTCTAGAAGCTAAGCCCTGGGTTAATGTCTTTTTTTGTGCAACTGAAGAATACCTGACCAACCACAGCGGGCTCTGTGGGGGTATCAACAAGTCTTGGTGATGGTAAAGTTAAAGGGAAGCCCTCCTCCCGCTCCCTCCCCAATTAGTGCCCTTTAAACTATTTGTACCTGCATGAACTTCGACGTGGCGTTGAGCATACAGGTTTTGTGCTGCTCACCCCTGTATTCAAAGGGCACCATGACGAAGCCGATGGCTTCAGGGATGGCCAGGATGAAGGAGAGGATCCAGATGGAGACGATCTCAATGGCAGTGACCAAGGGAATCCCGATCCCCTGGACGCGGCTCCAGGAGGCAACGGCTCTGTACCTGGATTAAATGGGGCGATGGAGTCAGGCTGTTAGGAAATTTTAAATCACTTCAATTTTACAAAATTATAAACGCAACAGAGCTCCTTTCCTTGGCCAGTGACCAAGCATTGGCTTTTTAGGGACTTTCTGTGAGTTCTGGTGTGAAAAACAGGTGGGCTATTAACAGTTCTCCCCATTTGGAAATCCTTTGCCTGGCAGATCTGAGTCTGAGTTCTTCATTGGCATTTAGCAAAATCTTGGGAGAGTGTAGAATGTGGCAGCATCAGATAGGTGTGTGTGTGTTTTAAGTCGGGGGTAAAATTGGATGATAGAAGAGGTGATGAGAGCTGCTGGTACTTATTCTGGTTATATCTTAGTTTTCTTTACATACTCAGAACACTTGAAAACTTATCTATGGAGCTGGATACCCTTACGTGAATAGTGGCCATAGATACTCCATCATCTTCTCTCTTCTTCTGCCCTCAAAATATGATGACAGTGGGCTTGTACCAGGTGGACGTTTTAGTAAATAGACAGCACTTCTGGTAAACGTCAAAGAATGACTATATCTCTCCCATCATGGTCCCATAATGCTACACCATATGAAAATGAATTAAAAATGCCTGGATTTCTAATCTTCAGGTTTTACAGTCTAATAGAAAAATGGGTTCTTATAAAGTATAGAATATAAATGTGACCAGACAATTATGTCAATTAAAAAACAAATTGGCACTAAGAAATTGTGTTGACCCTTTTTTACTTTAATATTTTTGTGGTGACAGTCACATTTAAATGTTAAGTTGAAAGAAAGTTTGGGTCAGAAATTCTATGGTCTTTGATCGGATGTGATGGTCTGGTGCTAACTACTTTCAGACTTAGTAGTAAGAAGAGACCTGTGATGTATTGTGGTATTTTAGTGGCTTCATTCTTCAAATTTCTGTTGTTGTTGTAATGGAAAGGAAACATTTTCTTTTTATAGCTTCATTAGATAGTGCCAGAAAAACACTGTAAAACAGACCAAGGTACCTGGAGACAGGTGTGAAAGCCAGGGCAACCAACAAGCTCCCCGTATCCACCAAGAAGAGTCCCACCTTATATTCAGTGCTGTCTCAGGACACCTTCAAGGTACCTCTGTGAAAACACAGCTTCTACGAATTATACTACCTTGTTTTCACAATAGGTCGGAACCTATAGTTTTGGTATGTATAATGATGCCATATAGCATATATACAGTACAATTTGCTGAAGAAATATTTTGCAAAAGATTTTTTCAGGTAGATAAGATTGGTGTATAATACAATCTGTAAAAAAGTCCAGATTAGTTCAGAATGGAGTAAAATACAGCTGTGCAAACAGACCAAGGAAATCCTTTTACAGTATGGCCAAGACTGCATTTTAAAGTTTATGGCTATTTCCAGTGGAATCAAGGATACTATTTATTTTGCTTTCCATTTCTGTTTACTTTTCTTTGTTGCCTTATTAGACTGGCAGCCTGATGTCCAGTGAATGCTAGAAGGAATGGAGAAGGAATGTCTGTATCCTGAGGCTGTCAGTGAGTTGTATTTATTTCTTCTCCTTCCTCTTAGATCAGTTACAGGAAAGGTGATTTAAATAAAACACTTTAACTCTTAAGGGAGTAAGAAAACCAGGTGTCTTAGGCAGCATGGGAGACAGAAGTTAGTTTCAGTAAGAAAATGTGATCAGCATGTTCTTATGATGGATATGCTCACAGACCAGTTTTATTTTACAATGTACCATGAGTTCCCAGGATATTACATGTCTATAATGCAATGTAAGTTGAATACCTAGAAATAAGTAGAAGCAATTTTTAGTGTCTTGTTGAGGAGATTATTCATAGTTGCTCCTCCATTAACACACACACACTGATCTTGACAAAATCTCTATGAAATGGGAGCGGGGGAGGAGGATTGAATGTGGGAGGTGGGGGTGGGTAGGGCAGGGGAGAGTAATGGGGGGAAATGGGGACAACTTCAATTGAACAACAATAAAAACCTCTGTGAAATGAGAAAATAACCATAAAAGCAATGAGAACCAATTATGATGATGGAGGTGGGGACAGGTGTGGAAAGTAAGAAATACCGGGATTCAAGATGTCAACCAAGTAGGTGGATATTACACTCACCTCCTCCCAGGACCAAACTAAAATTATAACTAGAATATAGAGCAGTCAACCTAGTAGCCAACTGAGCAGCAAACTGAAGACTAGCTTGAGAGAAGTCTTATGACCAAGTTTTTACAGAAGAAGCCACAATGAGACTGGTAGGAAGGACAGAGACTTGAAAAGGGCTGGCTCTGCTACCAGGGCGATGGCTGAGATTCCAGAGGGATATCTTAGTTGCAGAGGTTCCCCTGAGAAGCAAGGGGGTATCAACCCTAAGCCAGGATCCCTAGCCCAGAGCACCAGAGCTGGGAAGAGGTGCCCACTTAACATTTGGTTGTGAAAATCAGTGCGGATTCTGTCCATCAGGGAGAGACAAGAGTCTGCTAGAGACACAGATGCCTTCTTAAAGGGCCAGCGAGGAAAAATCTTGTTTGCAGCCAGTTATACTGAGCTCTGGCAGAGGGAGGGTGGGGCAGACTAGTTCTGTGAAGAGAGACTGGGTTTGTGGCTCTGGAGAGTGAGCTGAAGGGTCAGCCACCAGAACCCCTGTGCTGAGTCCCTCACACCCCAGATGCCATCTTACTTGTGACATCGGCCTGCGGGAATTCAGTAGCCCCACCTCTGGACAAAAGATACAAACAAAATAAAAGTAAAGAGATGAAGAAGATATTTTATGCAAATGGGAATGAAAAAAAAAGCTAGGGTAACAATACTTTTATATGACAAAATAGACTAAAACAAAGGCTGTAGCAAGAGATAAATGAGGGCACTATATAGCGACAAAGGGAGCAATCGAACAGAGGATGTAACCCTAGTAAACATTTCTGTACCTGACATAGGGGCACTTAAATGTATAAAACATTGAAAATGGAACTGCCTTATGACCCAGTGATTCTAGTTGTAGGAAGATATTCAAAGAAACTGAAACGCTAATTCTAAAAAATATATGCCCTATGTTCACGGCAACATTACCTATAATAGCCAAGATTTGGAATCAGCCAAAGTGCCCATCAGTAGATGAGTGGATAAAAAAGCTGTGGTACATTTGCACAATGGAATACTATGTAGCCATGAAAAAGAAAGGAAATCTTACTTTTTGTGACAGAACAGATGGACCTGGAGAGTATTTTGCTAAGCCATTCAGAGTAAGACAAATACTGTATGATTTCATTTATATGTGGAATCTAATCAAAAAATAAACTGACAAATAAAATAGAAACAAACTCATAGATACAGAAAACAGACTGACCACTGTTAGAGGGGAAGGTGGTTGGGGGGCTAGGTGAAGAAGTAAAGGGATGAAACAAAAATAGAATCAAACAAAATAATACTCGTAGGCACAGACAACAGTGTGGTGCTCACCAGAGGGAGAGAGGGCTGGCAGGAGGGGTGGGAGGGTGCGGGGAGGGGTAAATGATGGTGGAAGGGGACTTGACTTGGGGTGGGGAGCACACAGCGCAATGTAATTCATCTAATGGGCATTGAAACTCACCCAAACTGTCCCTTGTCTTCTTCCTTGTCCCCAAGCCTGCCCTATCTCCAGTCTTTACCACCTCAGACCAAAACTTTGAAGTCAGCTTTCGTTCCCCTTTCTCCCTTCCGCCATCTATTCATTGCCTCTGCCCACCCCTCCCTTTAGAATGTAAGCTCCATAGGGTAGACATTTTGTGTGTTGGTCACACAAATAGATGCTGAACAAGTATTTGTGGAATTAAATGTCTTTGTTTCTTTACCAGTGCATTTGTCTTCATTGGCTAAAGCCAATAACACACTACGTTCTAAACATTTTGTAATTTTTCAGGCCATCTCTTAATTAGCCAATAGATAAGGGGCCAATACTTTCATAAATTTAGAATGAAATAATTAAATCACCAGGAGGAACCTTTGGGCTGGTGGTTCTCTCCTTTGTGTTCCAGTTTGGAGCCTGAGGACTGGCGTTGCCATGTCCTTTGCCTGGTCACTGGTGGATTTGGGGGGCCTGGCGTGGGGCTCTGGCCTGTGAGTTCCCAGGGAGTCTTCCTCATGATGTCACCTTGTGTCCTGTCATGTGATGTGCCAAAATAAAAGTATAAATTATGTTTTATTTATTAAATTGTATATAGGGTGGAGAAATAGCTTTAGAGTTGTTTCAATAATTAATAAACAATAATACAAGAAGAAACTCTGTATTTCATTTACTCATAACTGTAACCCTACTTTTGCCTCACCCTATATTTCTTTTCTTTTTTTAAAAGATTTTATTTATTTTTAGAGAGAAGGGGAGGAAGGGACAGAGAGAGGGAGAGAAATGACAATGTGTGGTTGCCTCTCATGCGCCGACTCCTGGGGACCTGGCCTGCAGCCCAGGCATGTGCCCTGACCAGGAGGGAATTGAACCAGAATTTGACTGGCAACCCTTTGGTTTGCAGGTCAGCACTCAATCCACTGAGCCACACCAGCCAGGGCCTCACCCTCTATTTCTATAAATAGATTTTTACATTCTTTCAAGACCGAAGATATTTATTACATGTTTTTGAATTTTTACAGTATGGTCCGAGATAGTCGATAAATTTTTAAAAGTTTATTATTAAATTTATCAATACTTTGAAACAGTATAAAAACCAATTCAAAAGATAGTACTTCAACAAAACTTTTAATTCTTATTCTTTGTCCATTTCTATTCTCATCAACATAGTTTGAATATAAAAATCGTATCAGTTACAATTTTATTTTTAGCATTATTTACATTTTATTATAAGAATACTCATGTTTCTACAGAGGCTGGGCATGTATTGATCTGATGGCTACTCAATATAACAAGATACTGGTAAAATTTACTTAAACCTTTCTCTTATGTTCACATTTGTAGTCTCTGAAGGTTGTGAATAACACACCTACAAATGTTTTTTCTCTTTTTC